CATCGTCTTCAACTCAATCACAACTCTAGCCAGTCTTCGTCACATCGGATCTTCAGGGTGAGATAATGCTTCTAGCTTGGACTGGATCTTCCTCTTCATGTCTTGATGCCTTGAAGTTCCTGCATGGACTAGCTTTTATTTGTTTTAGCTTCTTAGAATACTCTTAGTTTAGTAATTTGATCCTAGATGTTCTTGTGGTGATGACTTCCAGATTTTGGGAAATAATAGTTATTGAATTGGTTTTTTATTAATGAGTTTAAGTCTTCCGCATTACTTTATGTTAATATTAAATTGAAATGTTAAGGTTTAGATTGGTTGGTTCGCTCACATAGGAGGGTAAGTGTGGGTGTCAGTCGCAACCCGGTTTTGGTCGTGACAGTAACTCACTTATCCGAACTCGGAATCTGAAACTTCATGTAACTCATCCTGAACTAAGAGTTATGGTCGTTTGAAGTTGACCAAAAACTCACTTTTAACTTATTTTAATAGTTTCAGATTTCCTTATACTTTCCAAAAATAAGTTTTTCTAGATTTTTAAACTCCTTTCTAGTTCTTTCTAGTTGTGAGATGTTACACTGTCAATAGCCGCTTGAAGATGTCATGTACTCAATAAAGAAAGAGCAAGTGTAGTATCAGTACACAACCACAGTGTACTTGTAAGATGACGTGGCTATCCCACTAAGTGCGACATTCATAAGCCAATTACAACATAACAATAACATGCATACGCCAAACGTATACAATATCGATATCATTTACGAGAAACGTTCAATTTCACAATTCTCAAAAAACACAATTAAGTCAAGTCAATGGTCCCGTTCCAAGTTAACGTGTGGGATCGTGACACCGTTCTAATACTTATGTCAGTACGTGGCAGCCGATCTTAGTTAGTGTATCAAACGCAACACCCAATCCATTCAACAAGCCATAGTCACAAGTATATTCTCATAATCATACAATGAAGTCATAATTCATGGCATCCAATTGTTCATATGTTCTTATTTACAATAAGTGTGATCAATAATGCGTATTTGCATACATACATGAATTATAATGAAGCAATAACAAGCATACATCGCATAACATGAAATCACAATCATCTCATACTTTAAACAAAACTTGAATCGCCTAAGAAACTTGATTTTCCCCTTCCGGATTCTTTGCGCTTGTTCTTGGTATACAAACAATCATAACAATACAAGGATCAATAAACAAGACCAATTACCCGCATCCTAATCAATATATCAACCCTAGATCAAACCCTTGATCCCCATACCTAGATTAGGGTTTTTTTCACTATAATTTCCAAAATGAAACCATCATCCATTGATAATCACCCACGAATTTACATTCTACAAATTGAACCATGGATTTGGAGAGTAAAAACCTTACTTTTAGCCTCAAGAATGATGAAAAACGGTCAAGAACCTGTCTGAGGTCATCTCCTAGCTCTCAAAGTCGAAAAGTATCGAATAAAACACTTTTTGGGGTTTATTTTCGACTTAATTTAGGACTGGCACGCTATAGCGGTCCTCACCCCGCTACAACGGCCTCGCCCTAGCGGGAAAAAATTCCACCACAGCGGGTTGCACGGAACTAGTGAGCAAATTTAAGAAATTCAAAACTCCAATTTCACAACACACCATCAACCAGTGACACTCAGAAATTACTCATTCACGCTATGATCAGTTTCGGGAGTTCTACTCATTCGAATTTAATTTCGCAAAGTCGCACGGATTTCTTAATGTATTAAGATAATCATGTGATCAAAATCATAATTAGATCACCAAATTGTTACCAGATTTTTCTAGACCTTAGTGATTCTGATTTCGTCTAAATTTAGAATAGATTGGAAAATTTCAAATTACTACGAAAAAAAAATTCGATCAAAACATTTTTTTCCGTTGATTTTTCTATAACAACGAAAATAGATCATTACAATCATATCCGACCGGCTCACATTAACTTAAATCAACTGGCCAAAATTCTCCATTTTTTCCAATATCAAAAACCATGAAAGAAACTCTAAAAAAAAAAGCACTCGAAATGGCACTACAAACCGCCTTGAATGATAGATAGTAAGGGAAGGCATAATCATAATTTGTTGAATAGAAATGCCTTCCCTCGAGAAACTCTCATATGTGAGTCCTTACTTTCTTTGAGTAGTTTTTCTTTTTTTTTTTATGGTGTTATTTGGGAAAAGATATAGGCCATATTTTACCCTCTTTTAAGTGATCTTAATAATAAACAAGATTGTACTTTGAGGTTAAAAAAAATTAGTTTGTACTAGTTCTCTCAACATTTATAACGTGCTATAATAAATAACATTATTTTATTGTCATGTTTAAGATATGAAAGTTTAAAGAAATTCCTTTAAAGGTTATGATCTACTCTTTTCCAGAGATGGCATAAAGTTGCACATTATATATTGCATATGAAGGGTCGATTAATAGATAATTGATTATATCAATCAAGTTAATTTACTAATTCAGAAGACAGCTGTCACATTATGGATCATGTGGTTTATTGTATTTATGTATTAATTAGAATACTATTAAATTTCAATCTAAACCAAATTACGATATGCTATCATTTAAGGCTACTTCCAACCCCAACCCCAATCCCCTCCTAAAACAATGCAAAACATTTACTTCACAAAATAACAATTGAAATTTTTTGTTTACTTTTCATAATGAATAACGGTGTGAGTTCAATTCTCATTATCGTTTTTCCTTTCCCTACACTTTCTCGTTCCCAATGTTATATTGGAAATTAAAAGAACACATACTTACAAGTAGGGGTGTACAAATCGAATCGACGAATCAAATCAAATCGAAAAAAAAATTGACTTGTGGTTTGATTTGATTGGTTTGGCGATTGAAAAAAAAACGATCACTCTTAGTTTGGTTTAGTATTAGAAAAAAAAGAATCAAACCTAACTCAAACCAAACCGACATATATATAAATATATACATAATTTATTTTATTTATAGATAAAAATATTATTTACATATAATCTACTTTGGTAATATGTTTTTAGTTAGTTTATGATTTTCAATTTTATATATTTTATTTCAAATTTGGATTTATAAAATTTTGTATATATACATATATATAATTTATTTTATTTATAGCTAAAAAATATTATTTATAATGTACTTTGCTAATATATTTTTATTTAGTTTATAGTTTTCAGTGTGTGTGTGTGTATATATATATATATATATATATATAAATAATTAATTTATAATCTACTTTGTTAATATATTTTAAGTTAGTTTATACTTTTCAATGTTTATCTATTTTTTTCAAATTTGAACTTGTAAAAGTTGTAAATGTTTTATTTTGTGTTAAGACCCGAAGTTATAATTATATTGTTATAGTTTTTAAAATTCACAGTTAATAATTTATTTTGTAAATATTTTCTGTATTCAGTTTGCATCTAGCCTTTAATCTTATTAATTTAGCATAATGAGCGTTGATATTTCAAAAACAATATTTTTATAATCATGTGAATTTGACAGTATTTTCGAAAATTTCTATTCCTTAACATATTTTAAATTTAGTTTATCACACATAAGTGAAAAATATTTATCGCTTTTTCAAATGCGATATAGTTATAAAAAATCAAAAAACCGAAAAAATCCGAAAGAATCGACTAAAACAAAAACTGAAAAAAATGACTTTATATGGTTTGATTTGGTTTTTAAATTTGATAAACTCAAATAATTGATTTAGGTTTTTTTAAATAAAAAATCAAATCAAACCGACTTATGTACACCCTTACTTACGATTATTACTTCTATAATCCTGATTTAATGAAAACTTCAAACATTTAAAAAAAGTGACTCATGTGATTCCTCCCTTTGGTCCATCCTTGCAATAATGCAATGGGTCATTTAATATCTCTATTATTTTTCCAAAGTCTATTGAGCGTGCAAATTGGCCTTTATCACCACTACCAAAAAAATAGAAACAAAAAAGACTCCCTCATTATATATACACATTACAAAATAGGAAAATATAAACATAATAAAGACAACAACATTATGGTATAAAAGAAAAGACATACTCTCTTCTTTCTTCATCCTTTTTACTCTCTTCATCTAGAATCTCAATGGCTACTACCACTAATACAACTCCAAGATATGGTCAAAAAGCCACCACATTTTCAACCCCAATTTTCACTCTTTCTTCTACTATGCCTTATCATTCTTCCTTTGGATCACTTTCTTTACATGATCAAAAGGGAGTGCCATTTTCTTGGGAACACATTCCTGGAATTCCAAAGCAACAAAGTTCAAGAAAAAATAGCTCTTCTTTAAGCCAACTACTTCCATTACCACCACCATCTAGAAAACCTCCAAATTCATCCAAGAAAATACAAAGGTTACACGACGAATTTTCTCCAAGAAAGATCAGTAGTACTACTAGTGAAGGGTTCAAGAAAGATCCATTTTTTGCAGCATTTGTGGAATGTTCCAAGGATCATCAAGAACATCATGAGAATTTTAGTGACATGTGGAAGAATACTACTACTTCTTCTTCAAAGGTAATGAATTCATCAGCAAGAACAAGTTTAAGTGACAAATTTGGATTCATGAACATGTATGCATCATGCAAAAGAACTTGTACTGTTTCAGAATCCGTTGTTTATCTTCCAAGATCAAGAAATTATGATCTCCTAAGAACTCGTCGAACAAGCCAATAAGAAAAAGTCACTCAACTTTGTTTAAGATTAAGGCGTAATTGTATATTATTTTTTCAAAACTTTTTTATGCTTATATCTCTTAGGCTATATAAATATGTTTGACAATTATATAAAGTAAATCCATTTTTTTTCTTTTACTATTATCTTACTTTTGGTTTGGTAAGAACAAGTTTCAATGTGTTTTTATTAGGGACAATTTCGTTTCATGTGTTGTCATAATGTTAAATAGAAATATATCCTTTCTGTATTTCATGTGATGAGTTATTGGCATCTTGACTAAACGTTACACCAACCACAATTGTGAAACTTTTTTAAGTATTGAGAAAATAATATTGGACCACTAAACCACTTATAAGTGGAGTCGCACACAAACATACAAAAACTCATTTAATTGCCATAATTTCAGAGAATTAGTAGGAATATAAAGGTATTGTGATCAAAGTGTATACATAGTCTTTTTTCTGCTATATTAGAAATAGATGTTCTTCTTTTTATGAGACATGATTATTAAAATTGAAAATGATATTTCTGATCTCTTAGAACAAATATAAAACTAAAAATATTATAAGTTGTTAAAGATGTTAAACCAAAATGTATATTTATTTATTATTTCTTAAACGACTGTATAAATCAAACATGAATGAGTATAAAGAATATGCCGTATTGACAATTAAATAGACACCGACCACCCCAAAACCTAGCCAGATCCATCAAAAACAATAACCAAAAATGATCCACTAACTTGAAACAAACCAAACAATTTGAATGATCAAACCAACATTATTGTAAAATCGATTATTTTGACCTAATTTCCCAGCCATCACGCAACCCACGAATCCCAAAAAGCAATGCAGCCAACAACAGTCTCTAACTATAAATACAAAATATGATCAAATTAGTAAACAACAATGTGAATTTGATCACCATATCAAAGCCTACATTCTTTGTTATCGTACACATGTGTCAGAATTCAAAAATAGATATGATGACATTTGTCTCTTTCTATCAAGACTAGTCAGCCTCAACTCAACAAAAATAAAAGATATGTGGAAAACAGAAAAGAAGAACAAGATAAAAACAAAAACCTATTCGTTCTAGAAAATACATCGAACCTAGTTATCACGTGTACAAGTCACTAGTCAAAATACAGAATTTAAAAATAAATTTGAAATTCAAATTTTAGTTTTTTTTTATCAAGTAGAACAATGATTAAAGAAAAGGAAAAGAGGGTCTGTCAGAATGACAAGCAGCCGCCTCTCAAATCCTTCACGAGCCTCAATAGTCAGGAGAAGAAGAAGATCACGCAGGTTCTGACTCGGAACCTACACAAATGTAGAAGCAAGGGGTGAGTACCAATAATACAGTGCCCAGCAAGCAACTAGATAGAAAACGAATATCCCTTGCATTCCAATCGAACCTCCTCAAACTACAATCTGCATAAAAATCAGTCAAACCTAACAATTCTAGAATGCATGGCTTGCAAGGCCCAATAATCATAAGTGAATCTTACAATATAACAACCAAACAAATCAAACGAGTCAATCTTAGTATCAAGTAATTCAGTCAGGCAAAGATACATCAATCTAAGTATCAAACAAACAAATTAGGCATAAGCCTCAAATACATTAAGTCAAATCTCGTTAGCATCAAAGTGATTTTCTTAAAAGCGTACTAGCTTTCTGTAATTTTCATTTAATGAAATTTGAATAGTTTTCTTTATTTTTATCATAATCTTATTTTACAGAAAGGAAAAAAATATTATATCTACTTTAAAAGTATTTATAGATTTTTCTCAAAATTTATCCAAAGCAAAATAATATATCTTTGTCATGACTCTAAAAAAAATAAAAGGAAAAAGCTAGCAAATATTTCCTTCGTTTAAAGAAGAATGTCATATTTCCTATTTCCTTTTTAGTCTATTTTTAAAAAAAAGACTCCTTTCCTTTTTTGGCATCACTTTAACTTTAACTTTTTACATTGCATGTTTAAGTCCACAAGATTAAGAATCATTTTGGTACATTTGAGAAAACTTTAATTTAAAACCACAAGATTAAAAAAATCCTCTTTTTTTTCTTAAACTCCGTTCCCAGTCATATTAGGTCATCCTTTTTTAAACAGAGGGAGTACAAAAACTTACTAGTTTCTTTTGATTTTTTAGAATATTTTTTAAAAATTATGAGGGGAAATCTAGTAGAGATGAACAATTTATTTCATCTAATGAGAAATTGACACATAATAAATATTTTTTTAAAAATAAAATAAAGAAAGAATTGTTAGTTTCAAGGGTATAAGTGGATAAAAAAAGTGGATGAAAGGATATTTTTAGGTCAAAAAGATGAGTAGAAGGGTATTTTTAGACCAAACTGTGTATAAATAATATTTTTAAACCTTCTACTATAGTTCAGGAGTATTTTTGAGAAGAAGAGAATACGACAAAATTTCCACTTCTTCATTACTACTTAGACCATCTCAAACTCGGTCACCTCTATTTTACTTTTCTTTCTCTATATTTGTAGAGTAAAATAGAAAATAATCACTCCAACTATTCTCTGTATCACTCTCTATTCTTCATATTTAGAGAGTTGAATAGTAGTTTAAATTTGGAGAACTACTAGTCGCACTCTCTATTTCACTTTTTGAATATTTTTTATTATTATTTATATTAGTCTTTAATTAACATATAATTTTGTATATAATGTCATTAATTAAATATCTAATTTATAATTCTTTTTTATGTAACATAACTTCTTTATAAAAAAAAATTATTTAAAATATACTACTTTCATCCCGAATTAACAGTATTTTAATTTTTCTAATTTTTGTCAACAATATAATTTGATTTTATTATTAATTTTTCTACAAAGAATACACAAAATAAAAGATAAGATGCAAAATATAATATAAAAATACAATACATAACATGATAATCTAAATTCAAGATAAAAATACAATACGTTATATGATAATTTAGATACAAAATAAAATTCAATTCAATCATAAGAAAATAATCAATTTATCACAATAATAATGTGATAATTCAGTAGATAGTTTTCAGATTTAACAGTATTAAAAAAAATAGTGTGTGACCTAGAGAATTGCTACAATTGTGGTTGTGATTGCCAATTTCTTTTTAAATTTATTGGTAGTTGGCTTTTTTTTTTTTTGCATGCAATCACATACAATAATAAAATAAGAATGAAAAAAGGTTATGATCCAGATAATTGTTGCCGACTGTGTTTAGCTATTTAGAAATAAATATCATTTTACATTAAATTTTTTTAAAAAAATTATATTACATGAAAATTATATGAAGTAATTATTTGGGAAAAGGAAAGAAGATTTATATTATGAAATAGAGTTTTTGGCCATCCTTTAACTATACCCCAAACTTAAATTACATCCTTAAAGTATCATTTTTAGCGGAAAACATTCTTTAATTATACCCCAAACTTAAACTACATCCTTAAAGTATCAATTTTAGCAGAAAACATCCTTCAAGTATTTTACAGTAAACAATTTTCATCTTTCTACTTAAATTTATCAGAAAACTAATCAATATATCCCACAAAAATTAAGTCGTCCCTTCCTAATTATTATTCTTAAATATGCCAAGAATATTATCCTGAACTTTTTCGTAATTGAGTTAAGAATTATCTAATATCTTTTAATTTGATCGTTTTTTCATTCATTTTTCATGTAATTTTAATTAAAAATATTCTTAGTTTAGATATGTTTCTTCTCAATTGAATATGCTAGAAGCGATATTTGTTAGAGACTTTTGCTTCTAATAATGTAGAATGAAACTTAAATATTAGACATAATCAATATTTTGATCACTTTGATATTAGATTGACCCAAAAATCTATTCATTTAATTGGTTAAGAAAAAGGTAAAAATAATTTATCTCCAACTTCTTTTCTTTATGAAAAAGGCAAATCGTGTGCATTCACATCTTTCAATTATTTTTAGTTTCCATGAGCAACAATGTCTAAGATTTATTTTTAAAGAAATTCTTGTAGAAAGTAATGAAATTTTCCAGAATAGTTACATTAACTACTTATTTTTTCGTAAGATCCCTTAATTTTTTGACAATATCTAGCAAAAGGATGAAAGTTGTACACTTACAAATACTTAAATAATGTTTTCTGCTAAAAATGATACTTTAAGGATGTAATTTAAGTTTGAGGTATAGTCAAATGATTTTTCTGCTAAAAATGATACTTTAACGATGTAGTTTATGTTTTGGGTATAGTTGAAAGATGTTTTTCGCCAAAAACTCTTATGAAATAAGAAAATAAGAATGAAATAGAAATAATAATAATGTAATAATATTAAGGAGAGAGAAGAAGATTTTTTTAGTGAGTAAAATAGAGAATTGTGTTACAATTCGTTGTCTTTAAAAAAATTATACAACTCTATATTTGAAGATTAAAATAGAGAACAGGGTTAAAGATGTCATTTTAGCACCATAATTTCTTTTCCGGTTTAGGTGGACTTAACGATGGTAACAAATAGAAAGATCAAAATATGTCATACATGTTATGGCGAAAGGGACAAGTAAACTAACCGAGATAATATCTCAAATGGTCATTCATCTAAAAAAAATTATCTTAGAAAGTCAATCAACTTTGTTTAATGAGTAACTTAAAATTTAACTATAGATTTTCCACTTAAAATATCACTCAACTAATTGTTCACTTAAAAAGTTACTGGACTATTGATATTTAATTACAAAGTCACTTAATTAATTTAAATAATTTTTCTTTAAAATAAAATTCTAAAAAATAAAATGTACTCATTTAAAGAATTTCGGTATCCTGCTATGATAAATGTACATCACATAAATATTTTAGTTAATAAAATTTAATTTAGTATAAAATTATGCCAATATCAGTTTTTGACATGATAATATATAGTATATAAATTATAAATTCATTAATGACTATGATTTTAGCGTAATTTTAGTAATAATTACATATTTGACTCGTAATTTTTATATG